ACCTCTGGATTTGCATTTCTTTGACTGCTAGCAAGGTCTGCTAGCATCTGAGAGTAGCTTTGAAACCAGAGCACAGGCGAGCTGTGCTGCCCTTACTGTCTCTGTCAGCTGGAGGTTGTGTAAGTCTTCGCAACAGAACCGAAACGTTGATGCTGGTGGAAATTGGACTCTTCTGACCTTCCCTGCCCCTTTGCTGTGCAGTTCAGGATCAGAGGTGCTGCAAGAAGAACGATGAAACGCTGCTGGGGAGGCGGGGGTGTGATCATTGCTATTCTGTGTCTGCGTGGCAGAGCTCCGGAAGCGGGCCCCAGGCTATTTCTGCCTTGGCACCACTGGGGAGCATGTTAGGGTTGTTTCCACATCCGTCTTCTGAGTGGATGTTGGCAGGAGAGGAGCCAGCATCGACCTCAAGACAGGCCCCCTCCCGTCCTTTGTGCGCTGGTCTGTGCTCGTCCTGGGCCCGAGTTCTGGAGGCAGGTGTGGGCCCCGGGGAGATGAGTGCCGCACGCTGTTCATGCAGGGCGGGGAGGGGACCCTGGCCACAAAAGTTGCAAAGAGGATGCCGAATGGGGCCCCGTGTGGGAAAGGTTGTGGCCGGGTGGGATGCAGGACGACGAATGTCACTGTCCTCCTCCTTGGAGAAGCTTCCCTGGACACTCGGTCTAAAGTCATAATCCTGCACCCCCATCTTGCTCCCCAAGTGTATTCTCTTGTCACGGTGCCCTGCTCCTTTGCTGGCCACTCACCGATGGCCTGGACCCCCTATAGCCTTTGTCGTCCCTGGGGGCTGGCTGATCCCAGGGTCCCACCCCACACAGTGCCTGGCGCCATGTGCGTTTTCTGAGTACAGGAAGGAAGACTTCTCAAGCACATGCTCATTGTTGAACGTATTTTAGTACCTTCATTCTCTTTTGGTTCCCAGACTGGGAGTCAGTGTAATAAAGCAATAAAGCAGACTGCACAGATGGATGGGGCTGGAGGCGTGGATGCCTGTGTCAGCCTTCCCCGGAGGACGTGGGGTGGACGGTGCTGATGCGTTTAAATGAGCCCCAAATTGGACAGATGAATGAGTGTGGTGGCCTCCTTGTCTGCAGAGGGTGCCCCCAGGGATGCCATGTGTCACTCACTGGGGTGAGTCGTCAGTCCGTCTTCTCGCCCTCGCTTGTAGGGTCCCTCGGGTTGACATCTGGCTCCCAGAGGCTGATGTGGCCACATTTCCGAGGGGTGATTTACATGACCCTTCTGAGTGGGCCAGCCTTTCCTGTTGGTTTGACCGGTGTGCCCGCTGCCCCTAGGAAAGCCACAAGGGCAGTGTAGTCCCCTAAGGCTGCCTGGTGGGTGCAGTCCGAGCTCAGGCTGGTGGTTCCACCTCTGAATGAATGTCGAGTGGGCTTGCTGTCCTGGAGGCTGTGCTCTGGGCGGCCCCCTGGGCCTCAGCTTGCCGTTCGTCCACTTCCGGCCTGGGAGCGTTTCAGTCTCCATGGCATTCTGGTGTGGCTTTCGTGGTGTCGTTCTGAGGACAGCCTCAGTCCCCCATGCCTGGCTTCTTGGGGGCACCGGGCTGTGGCTTACAGGTGGCATTTTGGGCATGTAGCTGGAATGGTGGCATGGTGTGGGGGGTTAGGGGCGGAATTCCAGGCTGAGAGACGAGGGTGGCTTGGAGGGAGAGCTGTGCAGAGCACGCCGGGGACGAGCGAGGGCCCAAGGTGATGGGACATGGGGCGTGTGGACGCTTCATGGGAGGGGATGTCATGGGGGTGTGAGGCCTGGGCTCGCTTGGGCCGGCAGCAGTTCTTGCTTCTGAGGCTGCTGTCACCATGACTCAGTCTCTCCTGTTAGCTTGTGGGAGACTCAGAGTGGGCTTGGGCTGGTGCTCTGGGGCTCGGTTGGGGTAATGTCTGGTCATGTTCTCTGAAGGAGAGGATGGCTCTGTCCCTGCCCTCGGGAGTGGGACGGGTGGGACAGGCTCTTGTGAGGGCGTTTGTCCTTTTCTGTGTTGTGGGAGGCTCAGGCGCATTCGTGCCAGCAGCCTCAGTGACCGGCCTCAGTGACCGGTCTGTCCTGTTTGCTTTCAGACCATCAGTGAGTTAAAGGGCAGGATCTCAGAACTGCAGTGGACTGTGATGGACCAGGAGATGCGGCTGAAGGGCCTGGAGTCCGAGAAGCAGGAGCTGCGGGAGCAGCTGGACTTGCAGCACCGGTGAGTGAGTGTGGAGGTGGGGGTTCTCCTGTGCCAGGGGCGCCTGCCTTCCTTGGCCCCAGAGTTAGCCTGGAGCCCGCGGGCGTGTGTTGAGCTGACTGTGCAGAAGATCAGGAACAGGGAGACCCAGGCTTGTCCCGTGCCCTCTGCTGGGTGAGCACCCAGCCTCTGAGGATCGGCAGGCATCCTTCGATGCCCTCCTGCCATGCACAGGCTGTCAGGGGGCAGACCCTGAGGCCAGGACCGGAAGTGCCAGAACAGAGTGGCATTTACAAAGTCCTGCGAATGAGAAGGGGCAGCTTCCAGAGAAGACGTTAGCTTTGAGTGAGGCTGTCGAGGCTGTGTGTGGCGGACGCCTCCTGCGGCGGGGGAGGTGGGTGGTAAAGGACAGTCCCGGCAGGCAGTTTTGTGAGCAGCAAAGCAGGGAGTGTGAAAGGACTCGCGGAGACGAGGTCAAAGGAAGGAATACTCTCCCGAAGAATTTGGCCTTTGTCCTGGCAGATGCTGTCTAAGGAGAGTTGTGGCTGCCCAGTGGGTCCTCGGCTGTGGCTGTAACGGGGCCAGCTGAGGCTGCAGCTGTGAGCAGCTATGCGGAGGGAGGAGAAGGGACCTGCAGGTGGTCTGGACTCAGCCACCCACCCTGTTCTGGGGAGGAGACTGAGGCCACAGGGCCTCTGGCTGGGGCTGGAGGCCGGGCTTCTGGAGCTGTCCCTGCAGGGAGCGCGTGGTCGGGGTTGTGTGTGTGCGCATGCAAGTATGTGTGACTGTGTGCGCGCATGTGTGTGCATGTGGGTATGCATGTGCGAGTGTGCATACGTGCATTTATGTGTGCGCACGCATGTGCGTAAGAGTGGGTGTGAGAGCATGTGCACGGTGAATGCATGTGGGTGTGAGTGCGTGTTCACACGTGTGTGTGTGTGCGCACAAGTGCATGTGGGTGTGCATGCCTGTGTCTACACTGGAGAACTTTTAGAGTGAGAGGAATTGTCGGCCTCACCACATACCACATTCTGCATGGTTTATACTTTTCTCTGAATAGAAAGTGGCAGGAAGCTAACCAGAAGATTCAGGAACTGCAGGCCAGCCAAGAAGCGAGGGCAGACCAGGAGCAGAGGATCAAGGTGAGTCGCTTTGCTGCAGCCCTGTCCTGTTTTGGTAGGCGTCCTGGCAGTGGTCTCAGCCCTCCTGCCACCTGTAGGTGTTGCTGAGCTGGGCGTGCTTGGAGGCATTTGGGACAGTTGCTGCCTGTATCTGCTGTGCCATTTGCACTGATTGTCTCCTTGTATGCCAGGTCTGTGCTAGCTGCTAGGGATGCCACAGTGAATAGGGGTCATATTTCTGCTCCCAGGAAGCTCACTTTCTAGTGGATGAAGACAGAAAACACACACAGGAGGAAGAAAGTAAATAGTACAAGTCGAGTAGGGACAAGTGCTGTGAAGGTGATAAATTGGCTTGGAGAGGCCGCGCAGCTGGTGTGGCTGAGCCGTGTCTCAGAGCAGGTCACCCTGACAGGCTCAGGCCGTGCAGCCTCACGGGGGAAGGAGGACACTGCCTGGAGGCCGTGCCTGCAGGTCCCTGGGCCGGCTGCCCACCGCCCTGAGAGTCAGGTCCACACCGCGCCTGCCCTGGGAGCTGGCTGCTGTGGCCTCGCAGCTCTGCCTTATCTGCCTCCCTCTCCAACTGTGCTCGCCGTGTCGGTTTTTAGACTCGCCTCTCCCTCTGGCCTGTGGTCTTTCAGTGCTGGTCCGGCTGCAGTGCTTACCTGTCCGTCCTCCTGACCCTTCCCCATCGGCCCTCATCACGTCACATGTCCCTGTCATCTCTTCCTTGCTCCTTGTTCTGTCTGCAGCCCTGGGCCCGCTTCTCAGGGTTTACTTGCCTGTACCACCAGATGCCTGTCTTTTCCACCAGACTGTAAGCTCTTTCTTGCAGAGACCTCATCTGTTTTCTGTGTCACCCTGTCCCTACTACTTGACCCAGTACCTGGTACAGAGATGGACTCCATTAGTGTTTGTTGAATGACTGACCGATTTGGTCCTGGTCTCATACTGAGCCTATTCTGTGACTTGTCACTAATGGATGCCAGCGGTCTCCATTGTGTCCCAAGGGGACTAGAGATGGAATAGAAAAACTGTCCTCACTATGGAAGAGGCTCAGTTGTCACGTGTGTGTGTGTGTGAGAGTGACAGAAACAGGCCTCGCATGGGAGGAGGTGGATGTTTCACTGGTATGTTTATTCAGGGAGCCTTCGCTAAGTGTCCTTGTGCCAGATGTGCACTAGGCTTCTGCCCCCGAGGGCAGCACTGCGTAGCACATGACACTCCTGCGATGCACCGTGGGTGCCGCTGTGGAAGGGAACGCTGAGGACCAGCACAGGCATGGGGTGCAGGCAGGACAGGCTTTCCGCGGGAGGGGACTCGGGGCAGCTGGGTGTCCGTGACTCTCTCCTCTCTGTCCCTGGCCTCCATCAGGATATGGAGCAGAAGCTATCGCTGCAGGAACAGGATGCTGTGATTGTGAAGAACATGAAGTCTGAGCTGGTGCGTTTGCCCAAGATGGAGCGGGAGCTGAAGCAGCTGAAGGAAGATAACGCCTACCTGCGGTGAGGCGGGCACGGGCGCCGGGTGGGCGCCTCCCGGGGTTAGAGCTCAACTGTGAGAGTGTACAGTTGGGGCTCCTGGACTCATCCCCAGGATATGTGGCTGTTTGAATGACTGCATTTCTGGCCCTGGCAGGGAGATGCAAGAAACCAACGGGCTGCTCAGGGAAGAAGTGGAGGGGCTGCAGCGGAAGCTGGGGCGCCAGGAGAAGATGCAGGAAAATTTGGTTGACCTGGAGCTGGAGAAGGAGGTAAGGGCGTGAACCGGTGAGGTGTTCTCTGCCGGGTGTCCTGTCTGTCTAGAGGACTCGATGTGTCAGTCCTACATTCCCGCTGGTCCCGTCAAATATGGAAGCTGCTGTGCTGGTGTGAGCAGAATGGTAGCCCCCAAAGACGCCCACGTCCTGATCTCCAGAACTGTGAACCTGTTATCTTAGGTGGCAGAGGGGAGCTAAGGGTGCTGGTCAGCTGGCCTGTGGTAGGGTGACTCCCTGGGTTCTCCGGGTGGGCCAGTGTGATTGCAGGTTCTTACATGTGCAAGAGGGCAGTGGGGGAGGTCAGAGCGATGTCACCCTGGGAGAAGGAGTCCACCTGCTGCTGCTGGTGGCATTGAAGGTGGAGGAAGGGGCCATGAACCCAGGAGCGTGGGCACCTCTAGCAGCTGGAAAAGACAAGGAAATAGATCCTTCCCGCCGATCCTCCAGAAGGCACCAGCCCTGCCGCCACCTCACTGGAGCCCAGCGAGGGCCCTGTGGTTGGACATCTGACCTACAGAGCTGTTAGGCAGTAAATCTGTGCTGTTCTAAGCCACTCAGCAGCAGTAGGAAGACTGATGCAAGCGGTGTCTGAAAGAAACGTCGTTCCCACTCACAGACTTGAAGGGGCCCCTGAGCTAAGTTTCTCCTGCCTGTGTCTCCATGGGACTGTAGGTGGCTTTTTGTGCGACAACGTAGAGATGGCCGTAGGATGTCAGTGCTGAAAACATCCTGGTCCTCTGGGTACATGAGACTGAGGTTCAGAGAAGCTCTCCATCTTGTTGAGTACACATGATTTGGACCAGAACTTAGGCCTCCTGGTCCAGGGCCTTCCTGTCCTGCACGACTTCTTTGAGGTGCCCTTTATGGCCTCACCTCTCTGGTTTGCCTGGCAGAACCGTGTCACCACTCCCCAGTTATTCCCAGAGTCTGGTAAGAGTGTAAAGTTACAAGTAACTCCCCATCTTCTGTGCGTGTCAGCTGCCCCGCCCATTGGGACCAGCCGCCGCCTTTGAATGGTGCTGAGTGCTGTCTCCTTGCCGCATACCGCTGAGGTCCTGTTTGGCCCTTGAGCCCTCTGTGGCTGGACAATGACTTCCGCCCACGAGGAGGCTCACTGCCAGCCTGAGGCACCACGGGCGTGAGCAGGGCTCCTCTCAGATGTTGGCTCTTGTAGGAACTTACCTGAAAAGACACCTCCGGAGCAGAGCAGTTTCTTCTCTGGACATAGTGTATTTTCAAATTGGTTAAGATCTTGGCTGTAGAATCACACTGCCTAGTTTAAAATCCTGCCATGGATGTTTGCTGGCTGTGTGACCCTGGGCAAGTTACTTAACCTCTCTGTTCACCTGTGTGATCAGGAATAGCAGCATCGGCTGTAGTGACAAAATTACTGAGCGTGTTCCTGGCACTGATGGGGCTCAGGAGATACACGTGTGATGGAACGGACGCACTCAGAGCGCTGTGCTTGGCTCAGGGCGGCGGGGACAGGAGGCACACGCTTACGTTCTAGATGGGCAGTGAGACTCACAGGGCTTCCTGGGGTAGGGGTCAGTGTGGGCAGGTGTGTGACATATGAGGGTGGGCCGGCCTGTGGGCGTTACCACCACCCCGTTCTTTAGGGCTGGCTGTCTCCTGCTGTGGGGCCACGGGAACTGGTTGGTCAGCCACGCCAGTTGTGACGAATTTGGCTCTCAGGCTTTGTTGATCTGCCCTAAGGGTTGGTGTCCTGAGGAGCACCTAAAGATGGGGTGAGAGGCAGCCAGGGCTTGTGGGTGCAGACGACTGCAGGACCATCCAGGAGGCTGGTTCCCCCAGCCCCACATTCCTTTCAGTGGCCTGCTGGGATCTTATAGAACTTACGGCTCCGGGAGCAAGTGAGGTGTGAGTGTGCGGTGTAGCTGCCGAGACCGGAAGTGACCTGTCTGCTTTGGAGCGGACTCAGCTTTGCTGTTTTAGCTCAGAGAGAAGGGCAGTCTCCTTCACAGCACTGGGGAGATGTAGTGTCATCATCATGTCAGTTTCGTGTGATGATGTTGGGTGTGGGGGTCAGTGTGCGCACGGCCGGTGAGGGACAGCCGCTGTGATTCGGGGTGAAGAGGGACAGCAGGAGGGCTATGGAGTCCTTGCACCGAAGGTGATGGGGACATGCTGCTCCGTGTTCTACCTTCCGTGTCTTTTCAGAGGCTGCTGGCAAAGCTGCAGAGCTGGGAGAGATTGGACCAGACCACGGGCTTGAGCATCAGGTAGGCGGAGGGCGCGCGTGCCTTGGTGTCCCCCCCAGAATGGGCCCGCCTCCCCACTTTCCCCCCCGTGGCTGCTGGGGAAGCTTCCTGCGCAGGCCGCTGATGTAATGAGGTACTTTCGCAGTGGGAGGGGAATGGGAGGCAGTGCCTTTCCCTGCTCAAGTATTTGAATCGGAAGCGGGGGAGGGCCGGAAGCCTGGGGTGCACTGGCTGAAGGGGCACTGAGGGCTCTCGGCCTGGTCCAGCTCCTCCTGCCCAGGACTGGTCACCAGCGGGCCGTGGTATGAAGGCTGCCCCTCAGCAGCCTGTCCTCGTGCTACAGTTTCCTCGCACTCCACCTCCTGGCCCCACCCCGAGTGCTGCTGAGTGCATTGTCAGGCCCACTAGCGAATGACAGAGGTCGCAGTAAATGAGCTCTGCGGGAAAACACATCGGAGGGTTCGCAGCCAGCCGGTGGTGGGCATTTGGTTGCGCTGCGTGGCTGGCTTTGTTAAGGACTCTGGTGTGTCTGTGAGGAGGCCGTCTTCTGGGGGATCCACTCCTGTTAGGTACCTGTGATGCGTGCCGATGACCTGAGCTGTTAGGGGTAAAAACAGGACTGTGTCCCTGTCAGGCCCCTGCAGCAGCCTCCCCAGCTTGTCTGTTGGTCTAGTGCCAGCAGGTGTGGCAGGATGCAGAGTGGGGCCTTGTTCTCTGGGGGGCAGGACGGGCATCTTCACACGGCCTGTCCCGCGTTGCTCCGCTGCTGCCTGCCCCGGTCCCCCTGCACACTGCCTCTGCCTCGGCAGCTCTGGCATTGCCTGGGCGCTCCAGGGTGGGGTGGGTGCTGGCGGAAGGCTGATCATTCTGGGTGAGTCCTGGAGCCTGGGGCACGGGGCCTCTGGTGTTCGAAGGGCCTTTTGTTGTTTTACCTGCTTGCATGATTTTAAAACTAGCTTCGTGGTTGTCTTTGCGGGAAATGGGGCCAAGAACGAGAACCTTCTTTAAAGAGCTGTGCTGTAATTACACCGTCGACTGCTGGTTCTGGAGCCTGTGACTGTTCCAGTCGGCATTGACTCCAGTTGCCCGTCACTTGCAAATGCCTCTTCCTTTTCCTTCTGCCTCGCTGAGTCACGGAGGACACATGAGGCCGCTGTTTCCTCTTGAACTGCACCTGCAGAACCCCGACTCACGTAGGGCGGCCCCAGCAGGACCTGAATGTTTTGTGTTTCCTCCTGTTCTCTGGGCTTATTAACTCCCGGGAAAGCTTTCGTCCTGCTCCCAGGGCCACTCGTCAGAAGAGGAACCTCCGTGACTTCTTTCTTGTGTGGGCGATCAGAGGCCCACTTGTGTCTGATCAGACCCGCCTGCCGCAGCGTTTGAGGGCCGTGTGTGCCACACGCACTCTGCCTCTGTCAGGCCAGCAGGTCGGCGCTCGGCCTGCTGGGAAGTGCAGCTGCTCCTCGAGCCCTTTTGGTCCCACTTCCAAACCTGAGGCCCCTGAGCAGGGCCGGCATGCGTGTGAGCCGCGTTTGCAGACTGACTGGCAGCTGGGGCGGCATCTCCTGGCAGTGTCTGGGCGGGCTCCTGCTCGTGCGTGCTGTGTGCTCACTCATCGCCTGCAGTGGCTGGGCCCGGGGACAGGAGAAGAAGGGGGTGGTCCGGAGGGCTGGCAGAGGTGGGGGCCGGACAGGAAAGGAGGGGCCTGCCTTTGTGGTCGGAAATAGACGGGGTAGCAGAGGCTGGGGTCCCGGCCTGCCCTCCCTCTGGCGAGGGTGCCCCTCTTCAAGTCCACTGCTCTGGGCCAGTTTCCCGTCATTGGGAAGGGAGTGCAGTGCTTTCCTCATGGTGCGTGTGGAGGCGAAACATGACCGTGCTCTTGGGAAGAGCCTCAGGAACTGCAGAGTGGCAGTGGGGGCGTCCCTCTGAGCAGCCAGAGGCTGCCTTCCGGAAAGCAGGTGGCACGTCCTCACAGCCCTCGGCTCCTGGGGCCCCTGTCAGGGCAGGTTTTCTTCCTTGTGCTTTGTGGTCGGTTGTGCCTGGGCCACCTCTGGGGGCCTTTTGGGGACCTCAGCTCCTCACCTTTCCTGTCCCCACTAGGGCATTTGGGGCAGGCCTTCACTGCGGGCCACTTGTGCTCCACTTAAGTGGGTATGAGTGTCGTCTCACAGGCGGCAGGTCGCAGACTTGTTGTGTGAGCGTGGACGGCAGCGGCGTCACCTAGAGAGTTTGGCCCAAGTGCAGACCCCTGGGCTGCAGCCAGGCCCCGTGGGTCAGCCTCTCCATGCGCTGGACTTGAGTCTTGGGTTGACCTAGACTACTGTGAGGGTGGGGCTGCCTCTCTTTCTTTGCCGTGTTTTGGGCATTTCTTAGAGCTTTCTGAGTGTGGGGGCGTCTTGGAGGAGCCCTTGTTTTACGACATTGGATGTGGGGTGGGAAATGGGCAGAGGGAAGGGGTGGTGGGCACCGCTGTAGCGTGGGGTCCCTGCAGGAGGGACGTGAGAGGGAGAGAGGGCACTATTTTGGGGGGGCCGATGTCCTGGGTGGTTGAGGGGTGGTCTGTCAGGAGTGGGTCTAGGCTGGATGCCCCTCGTCACCCTTGGGGGTTCAGTGCAGCAGGGGAGACGATGGGGCTGCCTCAGACCCTCCTGAACTCTGGGTAGACATCTGCCTGGCCCCAGAGTGGCCCCCAGGTATTGTGTGGTTTCTTTTATGCCTTAGGTTCTACATCTGTAAATCTAAGGGCTTTTCTAGAACATTGGTTTCTCACCAGGGATCATGGATCTCTGAGAGTCGTGACAGGCCCCATGAAAACATTTACCTCATGAAAACGTACGACTGCATGTGAGTACATGTAGACACACGACTTTGCGTGCTAGTTCAGCGGCCCACTCCCCCAACGTGTGATCAGCCAGCTCTAACTGACGCCTGTAAGTTGGGGTCTGCAGATGGCCTGGAAGAAGTTTGGGGGGCTGGGGAGGGCGTCTTGGCGTGGCCTGGTTGGTTTGAGTCTGTTTGGCCTTTAGGCAAGGCACTGCCAGTTTGGGGACTGAGGCACTCATTTGGGGCCTGTCATGACTCCAGGCTCTTGCCTGTGCCCAGTGTGTCCGTGGGTTTCTGAGAGCTGCCACCACTAGGTGGCACATCCCCCTTGGTGATCCTGGCTCCCCACAACCTGGGGAGCCGCTGCTCCCTGGGGCTGCACATGTCTGCATTTCTGGGCGAGGCCTGCTGCCTGCAGCTCTTCCCGGCCCACTGCTGTCCACCATGGGACTTCCTTGCCCAAAGCAGGGTTTGGTTGTGCAGGGATGTGGGAGCCTGTGGTCTGACAGCTCCTGCCTGCCTTTGGGTGGCCAGCGGGCCACTGTTGACTGTCCCACACCTACTCTGTTTTTGACCAGACCCCTTAAGCACCTGGGGTCTGTGACCGTGTGTCCTCTGCGAGGGTGCTCCTCTGTGGATGGGACTGCGGCTTCTCCTGGGTTCCCAGAGATCAGTCGCAACAGAGATCAGTTCTATCACCCGGAGAGACCAAAACCCCCAAAGAGTCCCCATGGCAGGACAGTGGTCACCCTTCTCCAGATTTGGTGTTTCTTACACCCCAAGGAGTCCAGAGATATTGGAAGAGGGAGGTGGGTGAGTTGGTTGGTGGGTAACCAGTGGAAACCTACAGAGAGACCTCTTGGGCCGAGTTCCGTCGTTTGCCAGAGAAGCTTGTGCGCCCTTGGGATTGCCTGTCACCTTATCTCCAGCACACGGGTCACGTGGGTTGGAGGCAGGTTGACTCTCAGCACTTAGAGAGTCATGGGTACGAGGGAGTGCTGGGGATGGATGACAGGGGCCTGTGTGCTGGACGGGACCCTGGTGGGGAGGAGTGGGCGAGTTCAGTGTCTGGACGATCTCCTAGGGCTTTGAAAGTGGCTTGAGGGACTTAGCCGCAGTGTGCGGAGCTGTGAGCGGTGTGGTCCGTCGGGAATGATAAGGTACCGAATGGAAGTGTATGTCAGGAAGCACGTTCTACGTGTCGGTGTCAACCTGGGCAGCACACCTGGGGCGCTGAGAAGGAGGGGTAACAGAGAGGCCGATCGGACAAATGGAACGAAAGTGAGTTCATCCCAGGAATGCAAGGGTGCTGATCCTCACAGAATTCGTTAATACAGCTCACTGTTTAGTAGAGGGAAGGGGGGATGTGATCACGCCAGTAGATGGAGAAGAAGCATTTGTAACAACTCAACAGCCGTGCGTGATTAAAACCTCTTAGCAAACTCGCAGTAGGAGGGAGCTTCCTCCAGATGCCCCTGCGGCCAGCATGAGACGCTGGTGAGAGACGAGGCCGCCTGGACGCGCGCTCCTAGTCCGCAGGGTCAGAGGTCCTAGCCCGTGCAGGGAGGTGAGGAAAGAAAGAAACCTGTGTCTCTGCTTGAGATGATGTAATTATCTATGTGGAAAATCCCAGACAATCAATAAGCCACCAGAACTGAGTTTAACAGGTTCACAGGGTACGGACACAATGTACATAAATAGTTTGGCTTTCTACATACTGGCAGCGAACAGTTGGAAGTACATACTATTTATAATAGCATCAAAAGACATGAAATCCTTGGGGATAAATTAACAAAATATGTGTAAGATCTGTACCTTGAAAACTATAAGATGTTGCTGAGGGAAATTAAAGGTAACCTAATAGTAATATAAATAAATGGAGAGAGACACTGTGTTCATGGATTAGAAAAGTCAATACTGTTAAGATGTCAGTTTGCTAAACTCGATCCATACATTCAGTGCAGTCCCAATCAAAGTCCCAGCAGGCTGCTTTGGCAGAAATCGACCAGCTGATTCTAAAATTTCTGGGGGAATGCAAGGACCTAGAAGAGGAGAGCTAGAACAGTTTGGAGCAGAACAGGTTACAGGGCTTCTGAGGGCTGATGCAGACACTGGGAACTGCATTAGTCAGGAGGGCAGCAGCGTGTCAGGAGAGACCTGTTAATCAGGGGGACAGAGAAGGTTCAGGAACAACCCAA